AACGAGTGGGGGTGTGAATTTACACTGGTCTCACGGTTTGGTTCGGTTACGATTATTATGCCAATGATTCAGTTCAATTCGATAGCCAAGTATTGACGATGCTTTCCATACATAGATTTTTTGTTCACAACACAATAATTTTTTTTTTTTTTAATTAAAATCTAAAAAATATATTAATATTTATATATTATCCCTTTAACTTCCTGCTCGACCAAATGGTTGACCATATTTTGACTGACCATATCTTATTGAGAGGAGTACCTAACTTACCTAAACCTGATTGAGCCATCTCTATCATTTGGTTGAGGTAGGTTATGCCAAAAAAATCCACTAGTTGTCACTAACTCAATCAAAAGCACTCGTCACAACATTGTTTCTACAATGAAATCAAAAACAAGGAAATCTGTCCTGACATCATGTGAACTGTTTTTGGTAAAAATTTGCAAGGTAAGCATATATTTTGACTTATTACCTGCTTAGAGCCCTAACTTTACAAAGTTATGGTACTTGGTGTCATAAAAAATATTTAGTGTAGGAATTTTTGAAAAACATGCTCTACTAAATGGTTAATTTGTCACTTTATGGTAGAAAAGCAAAACTAAAGATTTCATATCATGCATTTCTGCAGTCTGAATGGACTGTTTGCTGAGAAACATCAGCTTTTGATAATTCACAGAATAAATATGACACAGCTTGTTATTTATTCATGAATATACTAAGATCATTTCTTAAGTATATCTATTTTTCAACACTTTTAGGATAGTTTTGGAGTAAATATAATGAATTTTTAGAACTTATTTGTGGAAATCACAACTTTTAAAGATAATTACCTCTTAAATGGCAAATACTTGTATACCAGCATTAGCACAATCGTAAGAAATTTAAATTTGATTGTTTGTGTATTTTTTGTAGATATTTGATGGATGTCAATAGTTTCTACAGTACAAGAACTCATTGTCAGGCCCTTTTACCAGAAAATTCTTTCACTGATGAGATAATTCAGCATGTTCACTCACATACTTACACTCTCTCTCAGACACACATGCACATACATACACACACACACACACACACACACACACACTGCCCTGCACACACCTAATGTAATGTACTATGTACACATTCTCCCTACACTCTCACACATTCTTACACTCTAACACGCGCGCACACACACACACACACACACACACACACACAGTTCTCTCTGTCTCTCACTCACACACAGAAGTTTGTTTTCGTGAAAATTGGGTACATTACATAGGTTTCCATTCATTTTATACTGTCCAAACCGTATATTGTATTGCCCTCACCCCACCCTAGCCCTAAACCCAACCATCACAAGAGACAGTGTGCAGCTTTACTCTGATTAAACTCATCCTGTGGAATTTATAAGCTTTTTGAGAAAGGAGGACGTCACCAATGTTCTCATATTTCACCTCCTTTTTGTAATAACCGTGTCATACCTATGTCATTAAACAGATTTGTGTCCTAATATGTCACAAAATCACGCACACACATTTTTGTGAATTGTGGGGATATTACATAGGTTACAATTGTTTTTATACTATATAAACTGTACTTTCGATTGCTCTAACACCAAATCTCTAAACCCAACCCTTACAGGAAATTATGTAGTTTTACTTTCTGAAAATAAAAAATATTTATTATGATTGCATGTCAAAAATAATGTCCACAAAATTTACCATCTCCTCGTAATATCCGTGTAATACCGATGCTTTTATATACATGGACACACGTACACACAAACATGTATAAATAAACTATTTTCCACACTCATACACTCTCTTTTACACACATGCACACACGCACACACAGGTACAATCACACTGTTTCTCACACTCTCTCTTACACACATTATTCACTCTCACACACACACACACATAGACAAACTCACACTTTGGGAGTTTTGAAGTTTGATTGGTTAATACCACAATAAACAGTTCCATCTTCTGGAAGCTCTCGTGAAACTAAACTAAACAAGCAAACTAAATCCTGTTGCACTAATTCACTTGATTTTGATTTTATTGTAAAACAAAACTGGATAACATGTATATTACTGTGTTAAATTAAAATCTGAAAGATTTTATGGCTTGTGGCTATTATTTAGTATTCAATAATGTTTTATTTTGATTATGTTTTATGTTTTCTTACACTTCATATTTTCAGGTTTTTATAGTATATTTATTAATTCTGGTACTTTTACCATAAACCTACAAATTTAATCATTTGGTAGAGGCTGATATTTAAAAAAAATTATAGGATGTGTTGAAAAAAAAATGCATTGATTGTGTTAACTAGCGACATTAGGAGTTAAGAAATCCAAACAAAAAAAATTATATTGCTTTTTTTCTTGGTGTGACAGTTAAAGGGTTATTTGTAGGGATGTAACGGTATTGTAAATACCGTCATACCGCAATATTAATTTTTTTCGATATTACCGAAGTCGCATGACTCGGTAAAACTATAGGTCTCCTGAGAAAATTTGCTCAGGCGAATGAAGCGAACGGGACGTAGCTGAAACTTCATTTCCCATCAGCCCCGGCGTGGCCATAATCCTTTGCGGTCTGTTGTCGCTACAGATCCAGTAATGCGGAAATGGAGTGTGCTGCTAGTAGCGGAGATGAAAAAAAGATGGAAATGATCGAACCTAAAGCGGGTGTTGTCGCCGCGCGCGTGCTGAATAGCGGTGCTGTCGCGCGCGTTCTGATCAGCGGTGCTGTCGCGCGCGTTCTGATCAGCTGTGTTATGGCGCGCGTATTGTAAAGCGCCGAGGGGGGGTTGAGCGCGCATATTCAAGAGAGGTGTTGTCGCGCGCCTACTGAAGGGCTGGATTGGACGGAGGGTGTGTCGCGTCGCGGGGGCACTTTTGATCGTTTTGGAAGGGCATTTTCTATCCAAGACTAAAAAGGGCATGCGCACTGCACAGGTTGAGCCCTATGTGTGCACGTGCCTGCAAGTTGGGGAATACGACTAATAAAAGTCATGGGGACTGCAGAAACACAGCACACTGTTCAGATTGATTCAGACATTGACTTGTACCGCAAAGAGACCTCTATCTCACTCATGATTTGTCTTCTCAAGTGGGGGAAAGACAATGCACAATGTTACCCCACTTCTGTCAACCTGGGCCAAGTCATATCTCTCTTGTTCCAGAAACCTCAGTACCAAATGAGAGGGTTTTTTTTTCTGTTGCAGGGGACATTGTAAATGCCCAGAGATACCAGCTTTTACCAGATTATAATTATATGATAATTTTCCTTTAAACCCATCTCTATCTAAGTGAGTGAGTGATTAAATGTTGAATGTGATGAGTTTTCAACAATACTAAATTGAAACTTTATTTTTTTACATGGTTTAATATTTTTTTGTTATTAAAATTGAAGTTAGTGTTTCAAAGCTTACAGATAGATGGCTAATTTGTATGTCATTGACACTTTTGGCACTTTTTTTTGGAGTATTTTCAAAAGTTTTTTTTTTCCTGTAAATGATTCAATAAATACCGTACCGTGACATTCATACCGAGGTATTACCGAACCGTGAAATTCTGATACCGTTACATCCCTAGTTATTTGTAATACAATTTTGTCCTTTAATACAGCAGTAAGATATATAAACTTTACCCTTAATTTGACCTGCTCAAAGAATACACTCATTCTGAATGTTTCAAACAAAACTCCAGTACATGAGCATTTATACTAAATGAACTAATGTAAATATTCTCCCGCTTGCTTTTTGAGAGCAGACAGGCAAGGTCTTACACCACTTTGATTAGTTATTGTCTTCACCTGCTCAACAGAAAGGGTGGGATCTGCTTTAGAAATGAAAGCGATGTTCACCGAAGGTGGGAAGAACAGCCGAGGTTACAGTTTATGCACATAATATGCGGTTATCACAGGTAACCCAAAATAGACACAGTGGAGAAAACTTGCACATCAGGCACGCTCGTGTCTGGATCCACAAGAATCGCTTTAACAGCCAAGAGGAGATGAACAGTTACCTCACAAACAGGCCAGCGCAGCGGGTCAAATGTCCAAAGTGAGAGAGAGGCAGAGATGAAGTTTTACAGCATTTCTCCCTATAGAGAAATAGTGGCTCGTGTGCTGTGCCGCCTTCACTCGCCCTCACCTCCATCCTAGTATTGCGTCATTGTGCATATGAGATAAAGTACGTCAGTACGTAACAACCGGTTATGATTTATTACTGAACTGATATGGATAATTTTGACACCCCTAGTAATGAGTAACGATGCAGCACATAAAAAAATCTATCGTAGTAAAAGTATCAGCGAAAATATGTACTTAAGTAAAAGTGGATACAGGAGAAAAAAAAACAATACTCCAGTAGAGTACAGATACAGCCTTTTAGTACTTAAGTACAGTATTGAAATAGTTCTACTTCGTTACTATACATTTCTGGAAAGGTGCACGTTCCAGCGTTTATGCAGATGCTGTACAGGTATGTCTCATGTCTGAGAGGGAAATATTCAGCTGTTTGTTCATTATGAATATATTTATGAATAAAAATAGGCCATTTACGACTTTTAAATATGTGTCTTATCAATATGACCAAAATGACTTTTGAGAAACTGAAAACTGGACTGACACGGTTTCAATTTACTAGAACTTCTATAAAGCGGCTTTAACAAAATTTACATTGTAAAAGCACTAGATAAATAAAGATGATTTGAATCTGCTTAAATGTGTACACGTTAACAGACCAAACAAAATATGATCTGATTCATTTGACATTTAATGTGCATCAAAATTACAGCATGTGTAGCCAATGTTTCCAGTGTCTTTTCACTTTTCAGCTTTTGATGAAAGTTTTTAAGACTTAATGAAAACTAATGTTTTATTTATTTCAGACTTAATTGAAGAGTACGAGGGGAGTAAACAGGAGGAACATCATGTCAAAATTGAGGAAAAAACTCATTTACAGACTGATGGTGTTTTGAAAAGGAGAGACAAGAATCGTTTCACCTGCACTCAATGTGGAAGGAGTTTTGGAAGAAAAGGCGATCTTAGGATTCACATGAGGATCCACACTGGAGAGAAAATATCCACATGCACTCAGTGTGGAAAGAGTTTTGGAAGAAAAGACCATCTTAAGATTCACATGATGATCCACACTGGAGAGAAACCATTCACATGCACTCAGTGTGGGAAGAGTTTCAGCTACTCATCACACCTTAATGAACACATGAGGATCCACACCGGAGAGAAACCATTCACATGCACTCAGTGTGGGAAGAGTTTCAGCCATTTATCATCCCTTAATCAACACATAAGGATCCACACTGGAGAAAAACCATTCACATGCACTCAGTGTGGGAAGAGTTTCAGACACTCATTAATTCTTAAACAACACATAAGGATCCACACCGGAGAGAAACCATTCACATGCACTCAGTGTGGGAAGAGTTTCAGACAATCATCATCCCTTAATTACCACAAAAAGATCCACACTGGAGAGAAACCATTCACATGCACTCAGTGTGGGAAGAGTTTCAGCCAATCATCATCCTTTAATCAACACATGAGGATCCACACTGGAGAGAAACCATTCACATGCACTCAGTGTGGGAAAAGTTTCAGCCAATCATCATCTTTTAATTACCACATGAGGATCCACACTGGAGAGAAACCATTCAAATGCACTCAGTGTGGGAAGAGTTTCAGAATATCAACATCCCTCAATTTACACATGATGAGCCACACTCGAGAGAAACCATTCACTTGCACTTAAGCCACGATCACACTGGACTTTTCTTCCCATAGACTTCCATTCATACGCACGTGAATGCATCGGACAGGAAACGCAAATTTGTGCGTTTCCTGCAAAGTTTTGCAGTTTACTACATTGCAAAGTTCAAGCTTGGTAAACTCTGACCTGCAAAATCGCATCACTTGATTGTGTGAGACCAATGGAAGATCAAAATATGAACTCTCTTGGCAGAAATGTAAAATATGGACCAATCGCTCACTTTTTTTAATGTCTAATCATCTTGGTTAATCCCGCCCCTTTTGCAGCGCCATACAACAGAATTTTGCATGCTCAAACTCTTGTGTGACCGCAGCTTCGGTGTGAGAAGAGTTTCAGTTACTCATCAGAAGATACTAGAAAAATACTAGAAAAAGTTGTTTCTACTCAATTATGTTCCTTTTCTGCAGACGAACAATATTTTTGATGTGTTTCAGTCAGGTTTCAGGGCTCATCACAGTACAGAAACCGCATTAGTGAAAATAACCAATGATTTACTCTTAGCTGCTGACCAAGGGTGCATCTTGCTATTAGTTTTACTCGATATTAGTGCGGTATTTGACACCATTGACCACAATATCCTCATAAATCGCTTAAAGTCTACAGGTGTCCAGGGACAGGCTCTACAATGGTTTAAGTCATACTTAACTGACCGTTACCAGTTTGTGAATATTAATGGACAGCCCTCACAAGTCAGCCCAGTAAAGTATGGGGTGCCTCAAGGATCGGTTTTAGGCCCTTTACTGTTTACAATTTACATGTTACCTCTGGGAGACATTATTAGAAGACATGGGATCAGCTTTCACTGCTATGCAGATGATACTCAATTATATATTTCAACTAAACCTGACGAGACATCTGAACTGTCTAAACTAACTGAGTGTATCAAAGACATTAAAGACTGGATGACAAACATTTTTTTCTCTTAAACTCAGACAAAACAGAATTATTACTTATTGGGCCTAAATCTTGTACACAGCAGATCTCACTACTCAATCTATAATTAGAGGGATACAAAGTTAGCGTTAGCTCTACTATAAATGATCTGGTTGTCATATTAGACAGCAATTTAACTTTTGAAAACTTTATATCCCATGTCACAAAAACTGCCTTCTTTCATCTGAGAAATATCGCTAAATTACAAAGCATGCTATCTATCTCTAATGCAGAAAAGCTAGTCCATGCTTTTATGACTTCGAGGCTGGATTATGAAGTGGATTTTATACTCTTTAAAGTGTGATGTTAATGTATATATTCAAATTGAATGTGTATAATCTGCTTGTAGACATACATACCATTAGAAGAATACCATTAGAAGGGTTAACCTAGGTGGAAATTGGGGTCAGGGGTTAAATTAGGTGGAATTTGTGGTCAGGGGTTAACCTAGGTGAAATTTGGGGTCAGGGGTTAAACTAGGTGGGATCTTGTGTGAACAATGTGAAAAACAGTTGCAAAAGAGTATTTAAGCAGGCCAGAACATCAGTGAGACAGAATTTTTTTAGACAGAGATGCTACTGGGGGTCTCCTGAAAATTCTCCTTTGTTGTCGACAATAAAGTATACCCTTCTGATATTCATAACCTTCAGACTGAGTTTGATTCATTAAGAGAAAAACCTAAGAAATCACTATAATTGGCGTCCCTGGGTGGGCTGGAAAGGAGCAGGACTGGTGTTACTGTGCATGCTGGACTGGAGAAAAAACACCAATATGTGGCCACAATAAAAAAACGGTAAGCGATTTTATGCTTATTAGTTTGTGTTTTTTCTGCCAGGACCTGCTTGTAACGGTAAATACACTTGAACTGTTTCTCCAGCTTTAAATAATTAAAAGTAAATGTAGAAATCCTGTGGTTACCGCTCTAAGGTTAGAGGCTGCTTGGACAGGTCACTCAAGAGGAGTGTAGAGTATTTATTTAATTGTAGTGTTTGTGTATTTGCTGCTTCGGGTTAGGCAAAATAGTCCACATTGGTGTGCAGAGAAGACTCCCTTCCTCCTCCTTGACTGGAATGAGGATGGGTGATGCAGCTCAGGTTACACTAAGTGGAGGAGAGGAGTGAATGAGAAGAGGAAAAATAATAAGAGTAAAAGTGTGAATGCGTTTAAACGTTTTTTAATAAGGAGTAGGTTAAAATAATGATTATAGTATATTATAATATAAAAGGAGGGTTACATATGTGAGGTGTGATTTAAAGAACAATAGGAATAGTGATTTATTCAGTTTAAAAGAATAGATTATGATATAAAGGAGGAGTCTTCTAAATCAAAACTAATGGAACATGTTGCATTTGAAAGACACAGAGTGAAAAGGCAGAAGAATATACTAGTTAAACATTTTTCTGAAATTATATTTGTGTTTTAAGTTTAAATATGTTAAAAAAGAACAATAAGCTGAATAGAATTAAATTCTTTACATAGCAACAGGTGAAAGACAGTCTGCCCCAGGATGGGGGTAAGAGATAGATTTATGGTGTCCATGTGTGAACAATAAATAGATTATTTCTATTTACAGCACAAGGAAAACAGAGAAGAGGAGAGTAAAAGAGAGAATATCAAACTATTAGATAAAATAATGACATAGACTTTAGCATAATTGTGGATAGAATATAAGTTATTGATGAATAGATATATTATAAAGTGGTATAGTAAGATAAATGAAATGAGGAAATACTAATAATAGAGTTATATTATATAGAAAAGAGTTTGAAACTCTACTAATGGAAAAGAATAAATGAAGCCATAGTGATGAATATATATAGAGATAAAGGAAGTATGGAGTAAAAGAATATATTAATAAACAAATAGATTTACTAAATAAGTATGAATGAATAACATATAAGTTAGTTCTTGAATTAAGAATAAAATAGAAAAAGAAAACTTGAAAAATGAATATTGATTAATTGAAAATTTAATTATAAAATGTGAAACAAAATAAGCTTTAAAATGTATAAGAAAACATAAGAGCTAAAAACTTAAATTACAGAAAGGAAAAAGAATAAAATAGAAATAGAAAAATAAATCCACTGTTTCATAGATCAAATTAAAAGTTTAAAATATGCTTACAATATAGGCACATTGAACAGATAAGATAAAAAGTAAAAAGCAGTAACAATTTGAAGAAATAATTGACTTTAGAGAATTTGTTTGTATTTAAGGGCAATACAAATGCTTGTTTCATCTTTCTCAAAGTCAGCTACATAAGATCTAAGCCATCATCTATTTGTAGTAAAGTAAAGTGATTTAGATGAAAATCACACTGGGTAAATGTTAAAACATGATAGAGTGAGTTAAAATATATATATATATTGCCCATATATATATATATATATATATATATATATATTTAAGAGTGTAGGCAGTAAGAAGATAACTGATAATTAAACATTGCATTTCAAAAATGAAAAATGATTTTAGTAAATAAATATGTGAATTTAATTAATAATATTAACTTTGAGCTATAGCAGTAATGATTTTGAACAGTTATACCAGATATTGGGCCACCATGTAGTATTGTTGAGTTAAATCAGGTATGGAAAAACAGATATGGAAATAAAAAATACAATACTAAAATACGTGGCAGAGAAAATAAAAGATAAGATAATGTCAAATGGCAAACAGACGAAACATTTGATGTAAGCAGTGAGAAAATAAAAACTGAGTATGGAAAATGTTAGGGAAATTAAAATACGATGTAAAAATGACCGGTTAGTAGAGAAACACTAGCAAAGATGAGGAGAAATGTAAAGTAAAGCATAATCCGAAGCTAAAGAAATTAATTAGAAATAGAATAGAAATAAAAAATTAAACATATTTACATATGATAAAATGATTGTGAATTAGAGAAAAATAAACTGTTAAAACCGTAGAGAGGAGAAAATAGATGAGAGGAGTCTTCATTTGATGGTAAAAACATGGGAAAGAAGAAAAGACTTTTATAGGTTATGAGCTAAATTCCATATATTACTTAAGAGGACATAGGGATGGACTTTGGGGGACTGTGGTCTCTTATCTACCAGACATCTCTGAGTGCACTGTCAAATGGAAAAGGTGTTTGAAAAACACAATGGACAAACTGTTGGCTGTGGACATTTGTGAAAGCAGTGAGGCAGGAACTGCATGCCCAGGAATTACTGAGGACTGGAAAGGCTACTTATGTTCAGAGACACTAAAAAGAGGCAAACAAGCTAATGATTAACTGATCAAAGAGAAAAAGCACTCCACCAGAACTTTACAACAGCTCAATGAAAGAAAAGAAGCCAGCACAAAGAGAAGGGGGAAACACTGTGCCCTGATATGGACACCACAGAAAAGACTGCACTAATCTATGAACCAGTTGTCTTCTCGGGGTGTCAGGAGGGAGAGTATGGTAGTCCATCTCAAAGCAGTCGACCTATAGTCCAAATTGACTACAATGTGACCACTCAGAGGGCAAAATAAGAGCAAAAGTGTAGCTACCCATTCTTGTATCAAATCAGACTCCTGTCAATTTGATAAAAAGAAAAGTATCATGTAAACTGTGAAAAGTCTTAGATGATAATGTACAATGAAACTTTAAATGTGTAATGTTGAAATGATAAATTATGAAGAATGTTAAATTATTTTGGTTCATTTTCATAGGTTAACTCATAGAGATTATTGAACATAAGAGGATAAATTATAATGCATGGTGGTGATAAAAAAGATAATAAAAAACAGTTTTTGATAACTGAAAAAAATAATAATTTGGGTTAGAAGTTGATGGAGTTAAGTATTTAAGTTAAAATTAGGGAAAACTTATTTTGAGTAAACTAAACTAAGATTTGAGAGAAAAGCTATTTCAGAGATTAAGACAGAAAAGTGATTTATACTTGAAGAGAATGAAAAAAAATGAAATGAACTCACAGTACTGAATAGGTCAAAAAGTAACAATTCTAAATGTACTAAAATAATATTTGAAAAAGAAAAGTGTCTAAAAATAAAAAACAGAAAACATTTGTTTTACAAATGTGAAGAAATAATTAAAAGCAAAGAAGAATTAAGGACTAAAGATGAATAATCAGATCAGATAGAGAGGAACCTATAAAGAAATCCAGTGATTTTTCAGTCAACTTGTAGAAAATTACAACAAAAATTTATGTATAACCAGTTTGATGTGAGAGCAGGAAGGAATTAGGAGCTGAAAATGCTGAAAAGCAAAAATGCTTATTAATATAAAATGCAAAATAAGAAATTATTTAGGTAAGTGTCAAATTATAATAATGATTAACAGTTCAGGACATAAAGGTAGACAAAATTAGCCAGCATAGGGAGGATTAATTAAAATTAAACCAGATGCAGTTCTGTTATATGCTGGAATAGGCATTAATGAAACTTTTGAGAACATAGCAATATTAGAAACACTTAGATATGTTATGGCATTTCTAATTAAAGTCAATTTCAATTTGGTTGTGATTGTGTAGGTGACTATTAAAATGGATTCTATTTGAATTTGATTTGAATTAAATTTTTGATTAAGGCATTAGTCAAAACAGAAATAAGTAGATGTTGTAAAGTTTATGATTTAAGAACAGTCAGTGATAGAGAATTTCTTAGCAGAGGTTCCTGTACTTGTATTTGTTAGTTTGGATGCCAAATATGTTAAAGTAATGAATTTCTGTTCAGGTTATTATCAGAGGAGGGTATAGACACTTGGTTACCCCTAAAGTAAATAGGCTGATATACATAAATTAGAATGCATAAAAAGATTTAGAATATTCCGTGATGGATATTATAACATGTAGGACTTAGTTTTCTGCAGGTACATCTAGCTCAAGCTAAGTAAAAGACATAAATAACATTTTTTAGGGATGAAGGGTTTAGTGTTAACAACATTCTTTATCTAATCTATATGCAATAATAACTGTTAAGCTGATAAATAAAAAATTGATTTTACATTAAAGAAAATAAGGTAGCAGGTCTAACCCTAGTATAGAGCCACAACCTCAATTAGATGATTAAACAACATACTAGTATCTATGAACAATATATCTAGCATTAGAGGTGAACGAAAAAGACAAATAAGATTTATGTATTACATACAAAGTACAGATTGTTGAGGCAACAGCATTTCTAGATATTGGCATTTGAGATGTACATGGTTTGAATCAAGGGTGAAGTGGTAAGGAAAATTGAGCAGCAAGGATAATAATCGCCTTTTTGAATGCAGTGATTAGTGAATTGTTGTACACATGTGACATCTGTGCAAAGTAGAATGTGAGTAAAAGATCGGCAATAGGCCTAAGCGGATATTCAAGAACTTGATTGTGGATGTTGTGAAATGATAAAATTAGCTTAGGGCAAGAGATACAAGTTTTTGGGCATGACAGTTGTGGTAGATGAGTGAAGGTAATTCCATCAGCAGAGCAGGGAAGAAGAAACAGTTACAATATTTAAGATAATAGTCTCATAAGTCTCATATTTAGAATACCTTCAGAAATAAGTTTAATGTGTCTGCATTTAAAAATAAATTAGAGTAATTAAAGTCAATTAAAGTGAATAAAGGTAATTAAGTAGATAAATAAGTGGATATATGACTCAGTGAATAGATAAATAAATGAACTGATAAAGTATTGGAAATCAAGAAAATTGAGAAATTACACATAACTGTAAGGAATGATTGAAAGAGCTAAAGATGATTCATCAAGGCCTAGTTTAACAAGATGTGTTAAAATAATATACCTTTTGCATTAACAAGTGATTGCATGAAAACTGACAGAAACAAGCAACTAACACTGCATGAAGTACTAATGGGTCGACCCTTGCAAGTAATCTCGTATTTAACCTTGTGGAACGTTTGAAGAACATTTCTAATGCATTGGAAAGAAGTTTGGTCTTTTATGAGGAAACTAACTGCCATGTGCAAAGCGATATCTGTACAGGAAACCAGAAAGGACCAGAAGCAGGAGATTAATCCGGTGATCAAGTATATCTGAGGTTGTTCTGGAGAAACTAGAGTGAAGTCAGGAGAAATAGACCTTAAGAAAAGGTTACCAAAGGGGATGCCATCAACTGGATACCATCTGGACCACAGCACAAGACAGCCAAAGGAAAAAGCTCCAGTAAGAGAAAGCTAACAGGAAACAGAGGAGGCAGAAAATCTTGAAGCTCAATGAAGTGCAAAGTGTGGCAGGAGGAGTTTATCAGAACAGTTAAATAAGTAACTCTGATAATATACCTGAGTGAGATATACAGAAGGTGCCACAAGGTCAAGCTTTGATAATCATAACTTCCGATTACAGACTCTCAACATAACGTCTCTATCAACACTTTTTAAGGCCAGAACGAAACAAAGAATGCTCGCAAATATGTGCCAGATTTAGAGTCAAAAAGATGAACTAGTGCTAAAAATTTTTGATAGTTTAGAAGAAGAGGATGATGAAGAGGATCCATGCCTTGGGTGTTAAGTGCTAGACAACCTCTACCCCAAAACGGCGGCTCTCTACGATACGCAAAGTATCTGGGCTGAAGATCAACGTACTCTACTGATTATGTTTTGTGGGTGTTAGATTAGAATATTGTGTTGTGACCATAGATTGGGAGATTGTGTATGTTTATTTTTAGTTTTAGTTTTATTCTTTACTGTGTGTTAAATAACCATGACCCCCAGAAGCAAATGTATAACCACCTGTATGCTTAAAACATTACCTCTTATGATAACAACAAAATAGAATCGAGTCTTTTACTGTGTCCTCGTCAATAGTGGGCGCAGAAGTTTGGCTCGATTTTATTCCAAAGTGCAATTACATGATCTGGTCATTTGTAATAATACTGTGACATATATTTGTCATTAGGTAGTATGGCTAAGGGCTAGGTCATGGAGTTGCACTATGGGCAAAAAAAAACAAGAATATTAAGACTTAAAGCCTTAAGAGGAGGGATAATATGAAGTGGATTTTATACTCTTTAAAGTGTGAAGTTAATATATATATATTCAAATTGTATGTGTATAATCTGCTTTTAGACTTGCATACCATTAGAAGAATTGCCAATCACAAGAACTGGATAAGTTATATAGTTACCAGGTTTGGGTCAGGGGTTAACCTAGGTGGAATTTGTGTGACATATGTAAAAATAAGGGAAAAACAGATGACAGAGGTGGAATTTGGGGTCAAGGGTTAAACTAGGAGGGATCTTGTGTAACATATCGAGAACAAAGAAAAAAACTGGTGTAAAAGACTATTTAAGCAGGCTAGAATTTGAGTGAGACAGAATTTTTCAGACAGAGATGCTACTGGGGGTCTCCTGAAAGTTCTCCTTTGTTGTCGACAATAAAGTATATTCTTCTGATATTCATAACCTACAGACTGAGTTTGATTCATTAAGAGAAAAATTGAAAACCACTACAATAAGAACTTCAGTGACTGGTTTGCTTCTGTATTTGGATCATGGTTGCTCAAGATTGGAATATTCATAGGAATTGGTCTACTTGTTTTTGTATTTCTCTTTTGTTGTGTTGTGCCTTTTCTCAGATCGATGCGTGTTAAAGCTGCTGCCAAGCAGATGGCCAATGTGCAAGTGAATAGAATTGTGCATGACTGCAGAGACCATGTCAATGAAGTCTTTGGGCCAGATTTGAACCAGTTGGGTGAGTTTTAAAAAACAATTACTACTTTACATTTCTTTTTGCCTTTAATTTCTTTGAATTTTTAAATTTTTACTAATTTTTAAAAGATGAGAGTTTTAAGCAAGGTATCATCTATAATACAGGAAAAAGCTAATAGAGTGGACTTAACTGGAAAATTGTGTGATTATTTAAGCCCTATTTACTAGTATACATTTCTGTATGTATTTAGGAGTTCATTGAAGCTGCCAGAGCTCCTATCAGATGTACACGGGGAAAGAGGGAAGATGATTACGGTCAAGGGACACCTTGGTATCCAATGGCAAGAGAAGCAGAAGAGCAGACTCTACTGGCGGTTTAAAAACCCACTGTCTGCTCCAACACCAGACAGTACTCAGAAGTACCTCTGGCGACATGGGATAAAACATCAGATATGGCTCTTTTACAGGCGCCGAGAATATTCTACAAATATATGATTTCTATTAAATGATGATTAATCAAGTATATATGCTGTATACCAACAACTGTGAGCAAGGCTGACAAGCATATATTTTTAACCTGACTAATGATTATTGTGTGTTCAACTCCCCCCCCAAAAAAGTATTCAGTTAGGGAGAGCGGGATCTTTTACTCCTTCTAAAGTCAAAAGTGGAGGGAGATGTTTGGTTCTGTTTCTCCTCTGAAGTGCGGCGCAAGGGTGCTGACAATTGCAGGATGTAGATGGGCAACTTTTTGGTTGCACAAGTATGTTAAGACTTTGCAAGTGTTGGATTCTTAAGTTGCACTTCAGTGAGGGATTTAGGAAAGGGACTTTTTTGATTAAGTCCCTAAGGGAATTATAATTATAGAGGAATTAGAATTGTAGAGGAACTTTTATTATGTAATCACTATATAATCACTCTATAATCTGCCACTATTAAAATACACTGTTAAACATATAGAAATACATTCAAGTGATGCAGAGTAAAACACACAGAAGTAAACAGCGGTGTAGTAAGACCATTCAGACAGCATATGCAACACGTACTGATGTATTGACCATGACAAAAACAACTTAAAAACAACTTTGCTCAACCTGCAATGCAATAGCATGCATAGGGAGAATCTTTTAAAAAAAGTGTTGAAATATGACCTTTAAGATAAGCAAAAACAGAAAAACATACAGCCATCAATATAAAGGCTAGAATCCTATTAGAGCCTGGAAATAATGTGATGCTCATGCTACACCACTGTTTCATGATGACTTAAAACCTGTATATAAACTGTGGGTTTTGGAACATTTTTAGGAGCGAAATCAATCGACCAACTCTGCTGTAACAATAAACTGCTTCAACTTGACAACTTTGTAGACCTCAGCCTCTTTTTTGAAACTTAGAAGATGTTTGTCGAGATCCATCCAGCGCAACTTTCCATAACAACTGCTCCTGCAGAGGATTCTGGGTAAATCTCTAGTCAGTCTTCAGCTCAGTTTCACTGATGATCCAGAACTAAGCTCAAACCCAGGGTAGAGTGGCTCAGTGAATGTGGTCTGGACAGAGTGGATGAGGCTCATTGTGTCTCTATAGATGTTGTAGAAGATCAGAGTTCCTGCACTGTGATCCACAAACACTCCTATTCTCCTGCTGAGCGGCTTCACTGGGAGAGCAGTGCGTGTGTTATTGTGCCAGAATGAGGAACTGGAGGTAGAGCAGCGCAAACTCCAGGACTGAGCATTAGATCCAAACACACACTCATCACCTCCTCCCTTCCTCCTGGTGCTCTTATATGACACAGATATAAACACAGCAACATCTCCACTCCAGTCAATCTCCCAGTAACAGCGTCCACACACACTCTCTCTGCACAACACCTGAGGATAAAGACCATCAAATCTGTCTGGATGATCAGGATACGGCTGATTCTCCCACACACTCTTTACCTCTCTGTTCTCCTCAGACAGAATGAGACGAGTGTGTGCTGTGTTTGGATCCAGAGTGAGGAAACAGACATCTGAACACAAGAACACACACATTTATAACCACAACTGTGTGTGTGTGTTTGTGTAAGAGAGAGAGAAAGGGTGTGTGTGTGTTTGTATGAGAGGATGGAGAGAGAGAGAGAGAGAGTGTGTGTGTGTGTGTGTGTGCGTGGTGGCCACACATTGAGAGTGAGGCATGCACGCACACATACATACACAAACATACACACACACACACACACACGCTATACATATTCATTTAAGATTATTTATTGGTCACAATAATTTCAGTTATTGTGTTTATACATTTCGTTTCTTTCATATGTAAGTTTAATAAAACACACACACTTTCGGTTTTTTTTATTACCGTTCTTTATTATTCACAGTACATTTATTACTATTTTGGGTGCACACAAAATCAGTTATCTGTACTGTATGTTTTGTTAATTTAGTTTTCTTTTGAGTTTAAGTTACCGTGCTGCAGTGCCGACGAGGAACAGAGTTTCCGGGTGTGGTCCGCCCAACTAAAGGTCCGACGTGCCGCAAGATGCCAACTTTTGGTTCCGCCTGCCGATACCATTGGCTTAATGGCTTGGGAGGAGAGCTCATGTTTAGATAAGGTTCAAAAATGATTTGCAATGTTTGTTTATTCAGATTTATATTTAGTTTTGCCTTATTTAGAATTTATTTAACTTAAATTTAGATTTGTATTTAGATGTTTGGCTTAGTTTATTGTATTTGTAAATTGTATGTTTTTGTCTCCCCCTTCTTGTTTAATGTGGACTAGTCCCTGTGCTATAAATGTGGTCTGTCTTGTCATTTCATAGAGTTCTGTTTTTGGTTTAGACATGATTTGTTTGGTTTGAACTCAGTTTTTTGTTTGTGTGTGTGTGTGTGTGTGTGTGTGTGTGTGTGTGTGTGTGTGTGTGTGCGTGTGCGTGTGCGTGTGCGTGTGCGTGTGCGTGTGCGTGTGCGTGTGCGTGTGCGTTTGCGTTTGCGTTTGCGTGTGTATATATGTATTTTTTTTTCTAATGGCAGTGTAAATCTTCAAATATTCTGTCATTTTGGTCATTAAGATAAGAGAATGACCATTCAAAGCAGCAACTGTTTTTTTATTTGTGGATACTCACAAAAACAACAAAACCTTGCTTTTATAGAACAAAGTAAACTTTCACTCACTTATCTCATCTGAGGTGATCTTTAGGTAAAAATGCTTCATTAAAATAATGAATGAATGAATCTGAGAACAAATGCTACATACATGTCCTACAGATTTCCTGTATGTTTTGTTGACAGATCATTTAGAATACTGCTGCATAATTGTTGTAAACGTTTGAAATTTCTAAATGTAAAATAAAAATATCTAACATTTCTGCACACTTAAACATTTAAACATTTATATTTTTTTCTGTGGGCTCATTAAAGGTGCCAGCACAATGTTCATGTTCGATCAGGCATGGCTTGTCAATAACGACTGTCCAAAAATATGCTGTGGGGCAAAAATGGTTTGCACTTTGGTAAAGACTGTAGACAAAAGGGGAGGATCAAGTAGGTGAGTTAGAAATGTCAAAATTGTACTAATATTTTTTTTAAAGTTTCTTTGTGTAATTTATTTTTATTTTTCAGGAACAATGAACCCCATATTCCCACTTACTCAACCTCTGTGCGCTTGTACAATGTGCATTGAGGCACAAGGTTGTAGGGGTCACTGTAGTTGCCACCACTGCAAGAGTTAACGCTGTTAAGATGCCACCATGTCAGAGCCTGAGCTGCCAGTTGCCACCAGAGCTATTGATGCCAGATTCACCAGAGTTACTGTCAACAGAACCGCTCACAAAGCCTCAAGCACATTCAGACCCATTCCAGCAAAACTGCCAGAGCCCGTGGTGCTAGAGCTGGCAGATCTGCTGCTGCCATAGCCAACGCTTCCAGAGCCACTGATGACACCAACTAAGCTCCAGGATTGGCCACCTCTGCAAAAGCCAACTAGCCTATCAGAGCCACTCTACCTATTTCTAAAGTGAGGACAATTTATGCTTTATAAATGCCTAATAAATGACAATTAAAGGCTCAGAGTCAAATGAACAGTACATCTTTGTAATCCTATCTAAAAAATAAAATTACTGTAAAGTTTAAACATTGCCGAATAACAGGAGTGTCAAAATACGACATAAAATTGGATAAAAAAACAACAACAATATAATAATTTAACAATATATTATGAAACAACATTATAATGTTATTTAGCGAAGTTTAAACTGTACGGTAACTTTATTTTAGTTAAGATTGCAAAAATGTATTTTTCATTTGATACAGATTCATTTATGTATCTTCAAATAATAAGAAATAAATCAAGTCGTGTTTTTTCCCCTGTTTAGAAGATAACTGAGCCTTTAATTGTTATTTATAAGGGATTTATAAAGCATAAATAGTCCTCACTTTAGATTAGGTCACAAAACTGGATGAAGTTAAAATACTAAAGCATTTATTAACATACAAATTAATTATTAGTATATGCCTGAATAATAAGATATATAAATGTTAATTTGAATGGTTTATTATTTACTTATGCGTTCTAAATGATCTTTAAAAGCCACAAAGTACTCTCAAATAATTGGTTTGTAAATGATACAATACTTAAGTATTGAAAAAATTATTATTAACAAAATATGAAAATACAATCATTAAGCACATTATAGATGTGCTTATAAATCAAGAATAGAGCATTTGTATCTGTTGTTACAAACTGCTTACTAACTTCTGTTAATGTAGAGTTAATGCTTAACAAATGATAAATTAAATTTGCTAATGCTTAATACATTATTAGCGTGTAGTTATTATAAAGTGTTACCAAAATGGGTATTGTTTATTTATTTTTTATTGGAGGGCTCTAACAATGAATATTATTGCTGTCCAACTGATTATTCTCATTTTCTGGTCATTAAAGGTAAAACAATAGGTACTGTGAGAGGAATCATATTATGATCAATTTTAACTTGTTTTCAGCATTAAATGAAAGCCTTATTTGAAAGGCCTGCAGAACATATGTTGGTCTCATTTGCAGTTATTAAACATTCAAACTCTGTATAGAAACAGGTATAGTTCAATGTACTTGTGCTTCAGTTGATTTTCATCTGATATGCAGATTATGTGCAGTGTTGGGTAAGTTACGCTGAAAACGTAATTCATTATTGATTATTACTAATTATAATTTAAAAAGAAATACAATTGTATTTTAAATAACTTTTTATTCAATTTAATTAAAAACTTAATTACTCAGTAAATCATTTATTACTCAATATTATAAAAGAAATATCCACAAATCCCAAAGCATAGACAATAGAAATAAATAATTTAATTCTTTAAATTTGAGTCTAACAGGACCTTTTAGTTTCATTAAACATTATATATTTCAAATATTTTCAAATTTGATACCATATTTCATACAGGCCAATAAGCATGTGTAAATGTAACAAATGTAACATTCTTTAATTAAAAAAATGGGTTATTTTGCAAAATATCTGAATTTTGACAACAAATTTTTCACATTCCTATTCCACTTCTCTGAATTAATACAAGATATTGTCAGAATAAATCTTTCAATTTAACTATTTTATACTAGACAACGAAAGATAAAGAGGTTATGTTTGCATGCAGGGGCTGTGTTAAATTAATAATATATAAAAATGTTTTTTTAAATAAATATTATGTTTGTGTGTTTTTTGCTGGTTTTTGTACTTGAGTAAAATTTTTCTCATTGTTAAGATGATGTTGTGTGTGTGTTTACTTCATGTATTTTTGGCACTATTTTTATTCATTAAACACAGCTTTTTATATAAGCTGTAGATTGTTTGTACTACGTTTTATTTCATACACGCACTTTGTTAACCTTTCGTATTTTAGGTCTTTTATTAAAAAATAGTTTGTGCTCGCTGCCATTGTGATAAAGCTGGAGCTGCTGGACCAATGAAATCGAGCCACGGACGTGAGTCACAGCAGCGGGGTGGGGTTTTCGCGTAGGGGGCGTGGTTTGCGCTGAACTGGTTTGGGAAAAAAAATCACGCATGCCACACAGTGCAGACGCTCATACTACTGAAAAGGAAGTTACCTGACTGAGAAAGGTATAAATAGAAATCGGAGCCTGCTCCAAACGACCTGGTCAGCCCCAAGTGGGCTGTAAAAACCTCCTGGAGTTTTCATTCATTTAATGTCTGGTACAAGACACTGCGTCCAACCAGTTATGTTTGAATGTCAAACCTACCCCAATCCTTAAACCAACCTCACAGTTTCCTGCTGTGTTTTATCAACCTCCCAACCTACCCCAACTCTTAACCCAACCTCACAGTAACAAACCTCCATGTGGGTTTCATTGATTCAATGT